CAAAAAAACAACAAAAAAAAACACACCAAAAGAACAAACAACAAACAAACCAAAAAAAACCCAACCCACAGCCACAAAAAAACAAAACAAAACAAAAACAACCAAAAAACCCCCCAAACAACAACAGAAAAATGCTCAAACACCATGATCAAACGCATAAGCACTAAACAAAGGAAGTAAAAATGAACTTAACAGACACATAATGAACAATTATTAATAGTACGCGTCTGTACTAGTAGTAATAATACATGCCTAGAGTGACAATTTAACGCTTGGGGATTCAATATCGAGCGAGTTGAAGGTGTGTTAGGAAAGCAATCGGCTACACATCGCCTTCATAACGCGTAATACCTACAGGCAGCTTCCCCATAACCCTACATTTTCACCCTCCAATATTGGCAAACGCTCACAGCATGTGGAGTTCAGCTAACGCTGACACGCTGATTTCTTTAGTCAATTCTAGCTTTGTTTCAGCTAAGTGCTACGATGAGTCATTGATCGCACTCATAATATGTGTACAATCAGTGCAGCGACACGCTAATTGGATCTCAGCTTCCAATCATGTTGGCTTTGTATTGCTATGATGTTTCTTCTTTTGTAAATGATGTTTTGATAGCTCAATGGTCTAATGGTTAAAATGAGGGAGTGTCGATTGGTGACTTCTTTTTCAAGTTCAGCTTTATTTGTCTGTCAAGCGTGAACTTACTTTAAAAATAATTCAAATTTTAGAAAGTTTATATGCTAATGTGAACCAAATGCTTAGAAAATTAAAGAAAAATAAACTCTTAGCTTTGTTGGTACGCGTATCATTTTGATAGAGAAGCCTCTATGCATCTGGGCTTTGTACTTGTTTAAAAAAAAGAAAACAAAAAAAAAAATCCCGAAGGGCTGGTGTTCATTAGCGTGATGGTGAATGCAAACGAACAGAGCACAGGGAACAGCTTCTTTAAACAAGATTGTGGATGTTCATCTGTACCACTGCTATAAAACATTATACACGCACTCTCAAACGACAACGAACTTGCGACATGATTTCAGCAAGAAGTATAATGAGTAGCCTATTTTTATCCAAACGTTACATTCACATTCTACATTCATTCTATTTAATCAGTACATTTAAAACATAGGATGTGATTTGAAGAAGGCAGAGGAGAGAGAAAGAGAGAGAAAGAAAGAGAGAGAGAGAGAGAGAGAGAGAGAGAGAGAGAGAGAGAGAGAGAGAGATAATATATAGAGAGAGAAAGAGAAGAGAGAGAAAGAAAGAGACAGAGAGAAAGAGAGAGGGAGAGGGGAAACAGAGAGTTCGACAGACAGACAGACAGACAGACAGACAGACAGACAGACAGACAGACAGACAGACAGACAGACAGACAGACAGACAGACAGACAGTCAGACAGACACAGAGAGAAACATAAACAGTCGGTGTCTCTCACATTGCTGACAGTTGAGATCGTCTTCTTCCTCTTGCTCCGCAAACTGACGTCACAGATTGTTCTGCTGTTCAGCACAGACTCCTGCAGCGAGTATTTCAGAGACCTGCGCAAAAAGGCCTCCATCCCTGCAGACAGTAAATGTGCCCACGGCTGGAACAGGAAAACAAAATAATACAAGTGAAAAATAACTCTTCAGTGTTTAAAGACATCTGAAAAGGAGGACAGAAATGTTTAGGTGCAAATATTCTTCTTTTAGAAATATGCAATGGCGCAACATAGAAAATCTTGGTATTTACAGTTCACAGCCATTTTTTTTTTCAATTTAAAAGATTGTTCACTATGCACTTTTTCTTTCTTAAATCCTTAACTACAAGATGTCATGCTCTTTCAGAAAAATCATTCTCTCTAACAATATAAGAATAAGAAATAGAAATAGAAATCACGGAGAGCAATAATGATGTATTTTTATCAAAACAGTTCCTTTCGATTTAGATTTTTCATTAAGTTCTACTTCCTTGTGGCCACATTTTCATTGGTTAAATTCCAGCTCCATCTGGACCCATGAACTTACGGCACGTACATAAATCTGGCTGGAGTTGGTGAAAGAATTGATTCTACCACAGAGCCTGTAGGCCTCCTTTTGTAGGTGAGTAGCCCTCAGGAGCAGCACGTTACTCCTGCGGAGTTCTCGTCGGCCCAGGAGCTGGGGGCAACTGCCGTCCGACATGATCATCCATTTGTAGTCCTTGGACAATGTGCCCAGGGGATATGCCTATAAGAGGTTGAAAAAGATTGTTAATATCGTACAGCCCGTCGAGACATTTTAAAGCTTTCAGTTTTAGTTTAGTTTTAGTAAGAGTTTTACGGCACTTGCAAGACAGCTGTGTCATAAGAGTACGGAAAGTAAGAAGGTGATAACAGGGAGTAATATACAAAGAAAAGGAGAAGGGGAGATAAGTATGATAGACGTTTGATAGTTTGATACGCAAGAAAGAGAAAACAACACTAGATCCCTCGACAACTACACACTCGAAATTTTAACAGGCGTCCTGCTTCGACCCTACCTGCCCCGAACAACTCGGGCTGAATAGGATAAAATATTTTACTAAACAAAAGGGGATACTCTCCACTATCATTTTAATCGTATTATTATTATTTAAAGCACAAATTGCTAAAAAAAAACAAACAACCCCAACAACAATCCATAATTACATAGCATTTGCATACGCACATCTGCTCAACAACACAAAATATAATATGCGCTTTACAGTCTAAACTATGTATCACAGAACACCATAGAACATTCAGAAACATTATCGGCTTCTCGGGAAACAGAGTGCAAGAAGCGCTCAAACACTAACAGACTGACACGATATTTCGCTGTCTATACTCGGGTACCTATTCCGACTTGGCTGAAGTGAGAAATATTTGTTTAAAGTGCCTTTTCCAGAGACACGATCCATGACAGGGTTCGAACCCACAATCTTTCGAAAGGAAACTTAACCACTAGACAACGAACGTCGCTATTGATTTTGATTGGTGGAGGGGTGGAATACAAGAAGGTAAAGGGAATGCGGATGAGGGGAAGTAACGCAAGCTTGAAAATCAGATAGACGATAGACAGATAGAGTGAGACAGGGTGATATCTTAACGAGTATACAACGCGGGAGTGGTCTAAGCTGTACGATAAGTCGCAATAGTCTTACGATTGAAATGCACTTCAGTTAGTTGTTTGGTTTTTGTACTGTTTCTGGCTTACTCTCATTTATAAGTCTCTTGATTCATTACTACATGTATAAATGATTGTGCCAAGGCCTAGATTCAATGGGTTTTGTTAAAGAAAAAAAAGAAAAAAAGAAAAAAAAAAGAAATAGCATAACATTGACATTTCTCCTCCATTCCCCAAACCTCGTAACAGATAGTTAAGCCCCCAAATTTCGGAGCCAATGCTCAGCTATAATCCTATAACTCCTAATATGATATTATTGTTTCCCTTTTTGCGAGACTAACGTTGTTGATGTTACAGAGTTGAAAGCTCAGGTGAGCGCTGGGGACTAACATGTTGAAAAGGAAACGTCAAGTACAATAAATCATTAATGGTTGCAGGTGACCTGTAGAGGAAATGAGGAAATAGACCCCACCTTTATCGACCCCTCCCCTGACAGAGCCGAACGTTATCGACAGGCTGATAGATGACCGGACCCGAGTGACGCTAATCATTCTAAAATCACTGCCTGTGTAAACGTGGAGACTTCCGGGTCCAAACGGTTAACAACAGATCCGTATGTGGCCGGCTGTGTCCTATTCTACAGGGGCTCTTGTTTAATGAACACTCAATTTATTCACAGCAGTACTCGATCGGTAATATTTAGGTGGTAGCGTTTGTACGATGTTTGGTGAAACGAGAGAGTGCCCTTGAAGGGAGAGTCAGTTTTTAACGAGTTCCATTTGTATATCAAAGTTACAGACTGGCTGTTTTCATTACCTCCCCCAGAGTAGACAGAGTTTTTAGCTCCTCATTGACAACAATAATATTATTAAAGTATGGGTTGCAACACCCTCACCGACACTGTAAAGTCATTTGGAGGCGAAAACCCTGAACCTGACGTCAAACTTCGGGTTGGACCAAGTGCGTGGAAAGAAACGATTGCAAAATTCCCAAAACAACTTCAGGAGGGTAATTCCAAAATATGTGACGGACTAACAAATCAGAATTAGATTTTTGTGCTTGGTGGAGTGTAAACGCTGTATGTATCAAGGAAAGGGGACAAACAAAGAAAGTCTGAACTGTTTCTCCCCCCCCCTCTCTCTCTCTCACTCTCTCTCTCTCTCTCTCTCTCTCCCTCTCTATATATCTCTCTGTCTCTCCCTCTCATCATCATCATCATCATCATCATCATCATCATCATCATCATCATCATCATCAAACACATCATCTTCACCCTTTTCCTTCTTATTGTCCTCCTCCTCCTCCTCCTCCTCCACCTCCTCTTGCTCCTTTCCTCCTCCTGCTCCTCCTCCTCATCAGCATCATTATCCCCAGCACCATCATTATAGATAGCAGGGAATAAGAAATGGGTTTGAGACTCAGTAGACTTTTCAAATTTAATAAGTTCGACGTTTCGCCAGGTAAAGGGCTTCTTCAGGTACATGTACAAAAATGTAATGGAAAATCTATTGACTACAAGCTATAGCAACAAAAGTGCGCGAATACACGTTATAATGTCAAAAGGCGCGATAAAAACAAATCGGGAAGATCAGAGAAAATTGAAGGTTATGGCAAGAAGTGGTATGAATATAAAATAGTATGTACGTCAAATCATATTATATTATATATGACCATTAATATTAATGTAAAGGTAATTAATAGTGCTAGTAGTGGTAGTAGCGTAGCAGCAGCAGCAGCAGTAGTAACAGCAGCAGCAGCAGCAGCAACAGCAGCAGCAGCAGCAGCAGCAGCAGCAGCAGCAGTAGCAGCAGCAGCAGCAGCAGCAGCAACAGCAGTAGTAGTAGTAGTAGTAGTAGTAGTAGTAGTAGTAGTAGTAGTAGTAGTAGTAGTAGTAGTAGTAGTAGTAGTAGTAGTAGTAGTAGTAGTAGTAGTAGTAGTAGAAGAAGCAGTAGCAGATGTTTTAGTAGTAGTGGCATATATTATTTACATAAGGAAAGGAATTTGTATAACTTTAAATTCCACACAGGTAGGAACTTTATGTCCTCTCGAAACGAGCGCAAAGGCAAGGTAGAAAAGTACAAGTTGACTCATCCGTATTTCTTCCACCCCACTACAAAGACCAAACTTCACCGCATTTGTCCACTTTGGACATAGATGGACACATAATCATAAATGTCACAGTAACTAGGGTAGAAACAGTTGTATCGTAGCATAGTCTTTCAAAAAAGTGTGATAAGTACCCTACGTGGTAATTTAGGTCTCTGAAATGTGGCTTGTCGATGTTAAGACCACTGAGGATTTGGTGAGAACCCAAGTTCCAAATCCACATTGATTCTCTATGGTTTAGATTTTCTTTTGTAGGATTACGACTTATTTCAATGCCCTGAAGCTGGGCCCCCTTTCAATGAAAGGAATGATCCGTGCTTTAATATCAACTAAAAGTCATTGGCCTACTATATTTACACTCTACTGGAATGGGGCAATAAACCTTGAGAGATGCAGAAAATTATAAGGTCTAGATCTATACTCTCAAAACAAAATGTGCCTTGCGAAATATGGCTTCCGGATTTTCTAAAATTACAAAGACACAAGCGTCGGCCTACAAAAGTGATCGGCGAAATAAATAAATTGAGCTTTTTGTTGAAAAACTGTCTCTTAACTGAAAAAACGAAGGGCGTCGTGCTCTTGAGAATATTTTAAAGAATCTTTTGGCGAAAACCGCATGTCGATCGATGCAGCTATTAAAAAGCCCTTTGAATAGCAAAATTCGGCCACCACAAATAGATAATAGACTAATCCCCAGCACCATCATCATCATCATCATCATCATCATCATCATCATCATCATCATCATCATCAGGTCTAGACCTGAAGAGCTCAGCCCATGTTGCCGAAGATGCTGCCATGAAAAGGAGGATATCAAACATATGTTTGAATGTCCAGGAGCAATGGCAGTTCGAATGGAGTTATTTGGACGAGTGAAGGTGCCGCTAAGCATATTGACAATGGAGCAGAAAAAGAGCCTCGCTATCGCTCGAAGATTTCTTTGTGAAGTCCGTCAGGCCTATTAAGGTAACGAAAAAAAAAATCATCATCATCATCATCAACACCATCAGAACAACATTAATTTATCATTGCGACTTACTTATCAGAAGTTTGATGAGTCTGCGAGTTCCTTACCTGATTGATGATCTCTGCAAAGACGCCAGACTTAGCGGCGACAAAGATGTAGTGCGTGTTGATGGACGATTTCAGGATCCGGGCCAACTTTGAGCTAGGCATGTCCTGCTCCACGTGAACGAGGTAAGTACTCACGGAGAGTGAATGAAGTGTTGCTTTCAAGTCTGTCATGGACTCAGTGTCTGTGAAGTATTGCACGAGTCGATTAAATCAGCGTGGTGAAATCAATCGGTCGCCAAAACACAGAAATCGGAGAAAAAAGCATTCTCACGCCACTTTGGAAATTTGTATTCAATTTTTATTTGTTGGCTTAACCTCTTTTAGGTCAATACAAAACACATTCCCATGTGAATTTCACTTAAAAACTTGATTAACGGCACAAAATATGTCATTTTTCTGTTTTCAAGGACCCATAAGCTATTGGAGTTACCAAACTTTGGCGGCCATTTTCTCGCTAATTTCACCACTGATACCATCCGGCCTCACTTCCTTCAGTCGCAAATATCTTGAGTTCTATTTAAGGTAACTGGACATTATTTCATTGGAAGTAAGGCAAATAAATCATCTTTTAGATAATACCAATAACTCCACATGTCCAAAAATTGACGAGCACTTGATTCCAACACGCCGTGACACTTTTGGATCAAAAGTCAGATGTAACATACTAAACGAAACGTCCATGTAAAAGAGAAAGCAATGAGCAACTTTATTTAAAATGCTTTGTCACCTGTCACATACCATGTGATATTAGATGCCTAATAAGGCATCTAATGTATGTACACATACATTAGATGCCTAATTGATTTAAATGCCTTTATATTATATCAACCGTACATCACTTTTGTAAATTGGGAATCGTTTTTCTGTACAGAAAAATGCTTGTTGTAGGAGAGTTTAAACACGCAGGCAAAACACGGTTTTCAACTCCACCCCCTCTTCCCCCCCCTCTCTATCTATCTTTAACAGCTTTACAACTACCCCTCTCACCTTCTTTTTTCCTCTTTCCCTCTCTGTCTCTCACTCTGTCTCTCTCTCGCTCTCTCTCTCTCTCTCTCTCTCTCTCTCTCTCTCTCTCTCTTACCCCCTTACACAAACACACACACACACACACACACACACACACACACACCTCAGTACCCGGATCGTGAGGTCCTCTCTCGATCTCGGAAGATTACACCCATGACAGAGATCCACAAATGAACTGTCAGTGTCAGACTAGTCTGAATTTTATTAATCTTCATGTAAACCTACTAATAATACACTAAGTGTGAGTTAGGGCAGAATTTCGGTGAAACTAGAACTGGGATGTTTTGTTTCGTTGATTACGTTTCAGGACCTCGCCCACAAACAGTGTGTGAATTCATTGTTTTCGAATCACAAAATGTCATTGCTTTTTAGTTAGAACCTTTGTTGACCGCTGTGTCAAGAGTATATTGTATCACAAGCGAAGGTGTATTGACGTAAAAAAAAAGTACGCCATTTACTACTGGGAAGAACACTCAATGGAAAAGAAACCATTGGGAAAAAAAGGAAATCGTCATTACTTTGTATGGTGAAAATGCGACTTTCACGGTCCTATTGTAATGACACTTCTCATTTTCTCTCCCGGAACTTTGGGTGCTACCCCCAATGAGCTACAGCTGTTGGAAACAAAGGCACCCTCACCCCGAACAAAGGCTGGCCACATGGACAAGTGACTGATACATGATTAAACCATTAGCTGTTTTACTCGGGAAAATTGCTGAAGGATCGTTACCCTTTGTATAGTTTTGGAAAGAAAGGCATGTTGTCCAATCGTCATATGAAAGGGGAGTTAATTGGTTATGGTATTAGGCAGACATCACTCAAAAATGGGGGAAAGAGTTAGAAGTAAGCAGGAAACGAAATAAATGAAGACAATTGGGAGAGAAAGAGAGAGAGAGAGAGAGAGAGAGAGAGAGAGAGAGAGAGAGAGAGAGAGAGAGAACGAGAAGGATAGAGGGAAAAAGAGGAACTCGAAGAGGGAAGACAACAAGTGAGGAGAACAGAATCTATATAACATCTGATAAATCGAAAGGATTATACAAGTGAGCTAACTAAGCTACTCGACAAGTTGCAAAAGCTAGTTAGTTGTTTCGTTTTTGTTTTTGTTTTAGTTCTGGCATGTTCTCCTTAGTAAGTCTATTGATTTAGAGTAAGTGATTCTATCCAAGCGTTGTCGAGGTGGCTTGTTTTTTTTTTACAGTCAGCAATGGTTTAGCACCCTTCCCTCCCTGAAGCCTGGTCAAAGAAAACCAAGTTACAAATTTCGATGAGGTCGCAGGGAACAAAACAGGTCAAGGCAAAACGTGTGTGTGTGTGTGTGTGTGTGTGTGTGTGTGTGTGTGTGTGTGTGTTGAGAGAGAGAGAGAGAGAGAGAGAGAGAGAGAGAGAGAGAGAGAGAGAGAGAGAGAGAGAGATGTTGGCGTGAATACAGGATGGTTACTAAATCGTTCGTAATATCTACTATTCAAAATGCTTTATAATATTTAAAAAAATGTTTTTTGCAAAGTGGGGTGTAGGTAAATAAGTCGTTCTAACTCTTTAAAATTGTACCTGAGACTTCTTTTAACTTAATTCATAGACTTCTGAAAAGATACCCAGAAGTTTTGTCAAACATTATTGTCATGAAGAGTCTTACTGCCTCTCGAAATACCTACCTAAAAAGTTGTCGTAAATAAAAAGTATTTCCTTCCACTTCCAAATCTTTTGTACTAGAAGTCTCATTATCTCACTCCTCAGATGTCTGGGTGGCATGAGGTGGATGGAGGTTGAAGAGACCGCCGGACAGGGTGTAAGGTCAAGGTCGAGCATGATGTGCGGGATGTAATGCTCGGACGTCCAAGCGTCAAGGGCCAGGAGATAAGGGCAGCTGGCGATGGTGATGATCACTGAGCACCGACGATCCAGCGACGCGCAACCTGACGAGTGATCAAGAATGTGAGATAAGAAACGCGGGACAAACGACGGGGACCAACGACAGATAAACCGAAGGCGGGGGTGGGGGAAGATGGGTGCCTCTTCCGGTGGAACAAATGTGTATTCAAAGACAGCTTTTGATTGGTTGTTCTGGATGTTTGGCATTTCAGTTTAAGATGATTCACTGTGATTACGTGTTATTGTGGCCCATGTTACGGAACAAAGAGTGCTGTTATCTTATATCATATAATTTTTGGAGTCATTGGAGTCCATCCTTTGTGATACACTCCTTTGTACTTTGCCTTGTTCTATGTTTTATGCGATGCTATTTTACACCCCCAGAACCCAATAAAGAGCCCATCAAATAGTCGTATACACACACAACAAATGCACATACACACGTTGTGTAGTGATACTCCCCCCTCCCCTTTTTCTCCCACTCAATACACACACACCTCCCACACACACACACACACACACATGCTGACAATTACTCTGCGAAATTAAACAAACTATGTGGCGAAACTTCAAACTTCATCACGTTTTAAAAACAACAAACAAAGCAAAAGCGTTAGAGAAAGAAAGGAAGAAAAAAAATTGAAAGGTAAAACCTAAAAGGATTGATACTTCAAACAAAATGTAACACGCTTGTTCTCGCATTAACTAGGCTTTGTGAAACGTCCCAACCAAATCGGCGTTTTAAAGACAAAAGCCGAGGGAAAATCCCCATGAAAGGGTAACGCAAAAACACAATACTCAACTATCTCATTTTGAGCTTGATGGGCAATTGACCACGGCTTTCGAGTGTATCAGAGTGTAAAACAAACTTTTTATTTTCTGCAGTTGAGGAGAAATAGTCGTCATGAATCAACTGTCTAAAAGTCAAATTTGTTTGAGTTTGTGTCATTTAAATTAGAATTCGGTAATAACATTTTTGGCTTACCGGTTTTCCCTGTACACGTATTTCCCGTGGGTGATTAAGAATAAAAGAAGATAAAGGATCAAAACAGGTGCAATTCCTCGGAGGCAAACTGGATTTATTGCCAATCGAAACCGGATAAATGACTTATTAACAGAATGCTGCATTAAAAGGGAGAACATGCAAATGGAAAAAAGAAAGAAATTATTATCTTTCTAGGCACGGCGAATAAAACAAAAAGAAAAAAGAGGAAAGAAAATGTGTCAATTCAATAAAGGAGACGAGCACAGAGAGAGTGTAGAACAAGGCAATGCTAAATACACAAGTGTAGTATCTGCAAAGTGTCAGTGCTTTTATGTGTACTCATGAATGGGAGTTTTTGGGCCCCGCACGCCAGCGCGCGAGCATGTGTGTATGTATGTGCGTGCATGTGTGTATGTTTTGTGTGTGTGTGTGTGTGTGTGTGTGTGTGTGTGTGTGTGTGTGTGTGTGTGTGTGTGTGCCCGTGTTCAATGGGGTGCGGTTTTCTCAATAACGACTTGCATAAGAAAGGTCTCGTGAAATATTCGTTATGTAAATATTAAAAAAAAATATTAGAGCGTTCTAGAATTTGAACTTAATTAATGTAGGGATTATTTGAAAAGATCATAGAAAAGTACGGCTCGACAAAGGCCTGAAGATACTGGTGTATTTTCTTCTCATTGGTCAATTTAAGTAAATTTTAAGGTTGGCATTGGAAAAGAGAGAGAGAGAGAGAGAGAGAGAGAGAGAGAGAGAGAGAGAGAGAGAGAGAGAGAGAGAGAGAGAGAGAGAGATAGAACTAGAGAGAGAGAGAGAGAGAGAGAGAACTAGAGAGAGAGAGAGAGAGAGAGAGAGAGAGAGAGAGAGAGAGAGAGAGAGAGAGAGAGAGAGAGAGAGAGAGAGGGAGAGAGGGGGGGGGGCATTGCTGATTGTGTCTCATGTACAGCAGCATAACTAATATTTATCCTTCCTCAATGTCAACGTATTACGAACGATGGTCGTCCCGTTTGTGTGCGTAATTTTACAACTGTACATAATGATCTTCCCTAACATACATAGATTCACTATGCTGGCGTCTTCGGCGTAGTGGTAAGGCGCCTCACCGTCGTGCGCAGGAGACCCTAGAAAGATTCCCGAGTGGGGAGAATTTTTTCCATGTTCCAGTAACGGTAACAAAATAATTATGTCTAACGATTCAATCTCATCTGGTTAAGCTCAACGTATGATTAATATGGAGTATGTGCCACAATAGATCTGATTGGACAACCTATCTAAGAAAGCATCATTATTCACCATCCATAACAAAGCCATTTTATCTAGTGAAATGTAGAGTCTAACCAGACGTAATCACATTCCGATCACACCAATTTCTTAATGAAATAACTCTTGCGGTGACACAAAAAAATTGTCACGGGGCACCTTCTTCAAGTCAATTCTGTAAGGATGACCGTTTTGCTTTCATTTTCAAAAGTATTTGGGTTTAAATATCAGTAGAGTATTCATTCACACCATATTTATCAAGACCCAGTTTTCCATTTTTAATTCATATTCATTTAATTATAAAAATGAATGGATTTATTCTTTCAGTATTGGCTAAAAACCTGATTATCACGGATAAAGGTACATATAGACTAATCTGTGAATAGCACCAAATTGCTTGTCTTATAGGTTATGATGTTATTACGATGAAACAAAAATAGCTTTGCTGTTACTGCATAGTTCGAATATGTGATTTGATACCTAGATACACTCTTTAGTTTCATTAGATTTGCTACAAGTGTTAAACACTTGGAAGGCTTCTTTTAATGTGAAGTTTTTGTTACTCCAGTTACATAATTTAGTTCATTAACATAGCCGGCTTTGACCCTGTCTGTGAGGCCAACCCAGACTACAAGGAATACAACGTCTCTGGAGAAAGCACGAGAGACTCGATAAAACTCCTCCGTGTTCGGGAATCAAACTCTGGTCTTCTGGATAACAAGAAGTGTCAAAGCCCGCCTCCTAAATGATTATATTGTGTTTTTAGGGGTGTATGTTCTACATTTTCAAAACAACACAAACTTAATCACTGCTTAGCCGTACTTTCAACAGAGGAACTAATAAATGTACCATACGTGCCACCAAAGGTACTTTGAAAAAGGATGCATAAAATTGACCTCTGTTGTTTTTCGTTACAGCAAAGAAGACAAGACAAATCTTTACTGTATCTTGTGCTTTCCGTTGTCTCTTGTTTTCGCTTTCTTTAAAAAAAATACGCTTTGAGGTGCCACTATTATTAGTCACAGTCAATATTGGAATGCAAGCGATTTTCCCTCAGTACTAATGAGCAAGCTCATCTTTTTTTTCCATTGTTGGTTACAACAAATAGTTGTCGTGAGAATGAATAAATCTGTTTCAAACATCATTAACTGCATTCTGATCAAGGTGATAAAAACGATTATTCAAATGGGATTTCCATCGTCATGATGCAGCATTTTGGATCTTTAATTACAGATGAAATAATGTATCCATGGTTTGTTTCGTAACCCATGACGGTGCATGTCAACAATAGCCTATGCTAAACACAGGGAAGCTCAGCGGAGTAAATAATTAAGCAGAATAATTATAATTATGATTTAGATCTATAATTAATTGCATTTTTTTCATTCTGGAGCTAAATGTTTGTCTTCCCCAACACAAAAGTGCCAAAAAGGCTATACAGATTTGTATCTATATAATATATGATA